GTGTGTGTGTGTGTGTGTGTGTGTGTGTGTGTGTGTGTGTGTGTGTGTGTGTCGGTCCACCCGCCTCTCCTCCTCCCAGGTCTGCCGCGAGTTCCAGCGGGGCAACTGCGCCCGCGGTGAGACGGACTGCCGCTTCGCTCACCCAAGCGACAGCCCCATGATCGACACCAGCGACAACACCGTCACCGTCTGCATGGACTACATCAAGAGCCGCTGCTCTCGTGAGAAGTGCAAGTACTTCCACCCCCCGGCTCACCTCCAGGCCAAGATCAAGGCCGCCCAGCACCAGGCCAACCAGACGGCTGTGGCCGCGCAAGCTGCCGCCACAGCTGCCGCCATGGTGAGAGCGCCACTCGACAGGACACCCACTGTACTCTGTTCTGACTGGTTAAGACAGTAAACCCTCACAAACTGGTTCTTTTAGTAACGTAGCCATTATTCACAAAGGTTCTGCTTGTTCTGAGTTGTAACAGAACAAGACTTGTAAGGTCCAGATGGGGACTAAAAGACCCATTTGGGGCTCCTGACTGCATTACTTCTTCAGTTTTCTAGCTTTTATAGTCCTATGTGTTTTACTGTCTGTGTTGGATTAAATAAAGATGTAATTATAAATTTATATATATTTATATTTTACAAACAAACATTTAGTCTCATTATCCRCAATAAATAAACACAACTTTATATTTTTAAACTTTTTTTGTATAAATATAATATAGATTTATTTATTCCTATTTGTATATTTATGTTTTTTTTTAATGCAAAACATAGTTTTTAACTCCGTGATGCTTACAAAGACACAATCAGCGATCTATAATGTGGAGCACTGTTTTATTAATGTACGAAGCAAACCCTCCTCTGCTGGTTTATTCTAGTGGACTCCAGTGTACAATCCWCCAACAATAATCACCCTGCAGAGAGGCAGCTGCGTACAACAAACAGATCAGTAGAACGCCACAAGAACAATCTGTTATTTCGCTGCAGTCCTCTTTTTTTTTTTCCTTTAAATTTTCCAATGCCCTTGTTAGTTCATACAAAGACAATGCGCTGGCTCAACCCCCTCCATCCCACTTCACTGTTCTCTCRGTGATAAGTGCAGTGCCCTGCACATCCGTGCAAATTGAATCTGGGATGAATTCAGCATCCCGGATGGGAGTTTACACTCCTTTCCTCTTTCAGTTTGAAAAAAAAAAAAAGAAAACCTCCCACAAACGAGACAAAAGTAGACAAGAAAGGGGAAAAATCCGATACAGGACCAAAGAATAGTTTGGCTGTTTCCCCACCTCCTCCCTCTCCGGGTTTTGAGTGGCTTCTTTTGATTGGTCCTTCCTCTACTGCACTTGCACACCTTGCACTGCGCCAGTATGCTGACTGACTCTTATTATTATTTATTTATTTATTTCCCTCCTCCATGGCATGGGCATGCTGTATGCGCTGTACATCCTGTACCTCCATTGCTGCTGCTTTGCTGTTTTTTCTTTTCTTCCTCTGTGAGCCCACAGTGTGGCAGCTGCATTAAAGAACAGAAAACGGCAAATTAAAACACACCTTTGTTTAAAAAGCATAACACTCCGACACTCATATGCTCTAGTTTATTATCTTTATGACCCAGTTCCCAAATTACCCTCACCCGTTCCAGTCTATGCTAGAGGTGAAGAGGGTTAACCTGAAGACAATAAGTTGTTTACTCAGCGTCTTTAATCCAATTGTCTTTGAGCTTTAGCCTAAGCTGAAGTCCTTTTTATTGAAGCGTAATCCATAAAACCTGCACCGCTGCAAATGTCATTATCCATAATTCACTTTAAGAAAAGAAGAAGTCCGTTGCAGAAAAGGTTACACATTAACCAAAGCAGGAACAAGAYCATCTTTATGGAGGTTGTGTTGTTTTTACTGTGCCACATTGTGTGTCGGTCGCCATGCTGTGATCTCCTCCCTCATTGCAAGTCAAATGCAATCATCTTTTTCTTTTCCCCGTCACTTTATTAGACCATCTCTCATTCCAACTAACGCCACAGAGCATCAGTGTTTTTAACGTGGATGGATGGAAACTGTGAGAAAGTTCACATTTGTGAATCCAGAGGCTTGTGCATGGATCCCCTTTAGGTGCCTCATTCATCATATTCATGTCTTTTTTTTTCTTTCCAGCACTCGCATCAAATCTTAACAATGTCTGGATAAATTACCTAATGCCACATAAAGACCCTGTCATGCTATAAAATTTTAGACAACTTATACTGACTGATGAAAATTTTGTTACAACTATATTGTAGATAGGTCCAAAAGAGGTTTCCAGTAGATTTTTTTATTCCATCTTTAGTTTCGACATTTTTAGTGTTGGACAAACCTTTCACAAGTTGGCATAAGTTGTCTAATTTTGGATGCATTTGACTCAAATAATAAACAGAGCTCCACATTCTGTTATTAAGCTGTAACTTCTGCAAATTCTGCACCAATTACAGTTTTCTCAGCTGATTTCTGATTATTGTCAAACTTCAGTCTGTTTATCAATTTTGGCAAATTCTGATTTCTCAAAATTAGGGGTGTCCCAATACAAAGTACAAGTACTTCACTTTAGGTACTTGCCGATACTGAGTACCAATGCTGAAAAGTTAAAGGAGTTATTACCTAAGCATTACACAATGAATTTAGACACGTTTTAAAAGTTAAGAATACATCAGACAGTCTGCTTTCTTAACTTTCCCTGTTTATCTTAAAATATCTCAAAGCTACCAACATTTTTTATCTTTTGACCTCGGTTATTTGCACAGTGGAAMAGGAGATGATGTCATCAAGCATAAATGTCTGAAAAATCTGGTGTTTTTATGAGTATTTGAGGCTGGAAATGCTCCCCAATACTGACACTAGTATCTGTATCGATACTGTGACTGCTCAAAATAATTAACAGTRTACAAAATATACATTTTCAAATATCACACAATAAAACCTTAAACAAAATAAACAGGCTATTACTAGTGTGAATTACCAGGGAATAAAAATATAAAGTGAATTAGGAAAAAAAAWTACATTTTTATGTCAAACTGGCCTATGAAGCCAAAAATCAGATGATTCAGGTGCTTCCCRACTCGTACAGCAGCCATTTGAAACCGTCTTCCTGCCTGCTGTGAGGGCGGAGTTGACTCATCCAAATGACCTTTGACCTGATCTTACAGACATTTCAGGAGCCACCTCACATAATCAGTTGAACCAGTTGTTTTCTACTTTTTTTGTATTTGTTGTTGTGAAGATATTTTAAAACTTAACTAGCTGGTTCAGAAACAAAGAAAAAAACATATTAACGAAGAGTTAATATAGATGCTTTTTTTGTGCTTTTTGTACTAATTCAAAACTTAGCAATGTTTTTTTAAAGTAAAGTTTTTTTGTTTCTGTGCATGCCTATTGTTTTGTATGTGGTATACTTGCATTCAGATTATTTTTTTGTTTTGTTTTTTCCTTCTCACCTATCCACAATGCAATGCTGTCCCCCATGATGCACCTCTGCTTGCTGTTACCTGTATGTTAATACGCTTGAATCCCATTGGCCCACTGCCATCATGTGCTCGCTGCCTGCTAATTAAAGACTCAGTCGACTGCCAAAGCAATGAAGCGACCCCTCGAGGCATCTGTAGACCTGGTACTTTGACCTTTCACCTTTTGCTTTGCATGTAGCTTCTTTAATTGTACTGTAGCCACTCACAGAGTTTGATTTGGCTCTTTTGTTGTTGTGAAAACTCTGTAAAACTCTTTAATGTCAACTCCCAAGTGGATTTCATTTTTAGATTGTAATGAACTGAACAAGTAATGTTAAAAAACAATTTCAGCTCTTGTAGACGATTGTCTTGCTATGACGTAGCCATACAGCAAAGTTTCCATTTCTGCCTTTCTTGTGCTGTGCGTAGACAAATAATAATAATACGAGTGGATGAGAACACAGTTCARATCTCCCATGCTTCTGCTTTCTGTGTGTTTCTCGGTGGCAAGGCGTTCCCCCACGGCGTCCTCCAGCCGCTACCAAAGAGACCAGCACTTGAGAAGAGCAACGGAGCCAGCTCCCTGTTTAACCCCAGTGTTTTGCACTACCAGCAGGCGCTGGCTAACGCACAGCTCCAGCAGCCTGCTTTCTTTCCCACAGGTAAGAGCTCCCGACTGACACATGCAAACAGATCTGCACACGCCTGGAAGCACACCTAAAGCCCAGCAGCGGTTTAGCAGCTTTACTGCTTTTTAGTGCTACGTTTCTTTTAGAGACCATAATGATAGCTAATGTGATAGCTTGTAGTAGCACAGGATGAGACCAGTGGTGGGCACAGCTAACCAAAAAGCTAGCATCGCTACACTCAAAACCGCCAACTAAAGCACTAGCTACACAAATGCTAAACTGCTAAACAGGTAAGAAAATTAGCAGAAGCTAACGTTAACGCTAACTCAAGGTCTCCTTTAAACAGAGATATGTGGGATCCACTGAAATCTTGGCTAAAATCTCATAATTATTTCTATGTCTAACAAACACAAACCTTTGAATCAGGAAGTAARCAAATTGCACAAAAGTAACATGAACTAAAAGCCTAAGTCTCAGTTGTTCACCCCGTAGCTTCTTCACACACAACCAACATGTCTGCTGTAAGTTTCATCACAGTCCAACCAGGATTCACTGAACCACGAGCAAATAAACCAGAATTATATTTCATCAAAAAGTCCATCTTACATTTGCTGCATTGTCCCTGAATCATTAATCCACTGGGATAAAAACTGAGCAACTACATCTCCCAGAGTGCTTTAGGGCATTTCCCMCAGCTTTTTGACAATATTTGAAGGATTTGAGTGAACTAAGGTGCCTCACTCAGTCAGTGTCACACGTCTTCATCTCCTAGTTGAAGACTAACGCAGGTGGACACACAAATGATGCTACACGCACACACAGGACACGTGAAGCAGGCCTGCAGCGCTGCATGTGTGAGGAAATAGTTGCTTTTGTTAGCGGACTCAAATTTAGCTGTTAGTAGAACTGTGCCCACCACTGGATTTCTCCAGTGGTCCCCTTAAAGTCCTTTTACTGAAGTTGTCTTAAAACTAGTTTCAGAAAAATGTATTTTGAATATTTTGATGACGAGGTCAGAGCTCCAACACTTCCTGTGTGTTGTATTATCTCTGTGCTGACGTCAGGTATCAGTATATCGTGCAGCCCTATTTGAAACATTTTGATGACTGAGTTTGACCAAAAGAAAAAAAGTCTCACTTGGCTGGAMGCTTCGTGTGATAACCTGTTTGTGAAACAAATGTTTCTAACTTGATTTAACCCAGATTTGAATAAAAATCTCTGCACATCATTATACTGACGCTGCACGAGGCCATTTCTCTCACCTCTTTAGTTTTATTCACTTTCCCTTTTGTTCTAATACAGAATCGCATCTCTGTATTTTGTTTGATTTTTTTTCTCCTCTCATATTGTTAGATCGGAAATGTAAATTAGATTAGTTGCAGCTATTTATTTTCAGACGTTTGTAACCGTGAAGATGCTATGGATTGATGGAAACTTGCTGAAACATATAAAATGTAAAACAGCAAGTTGTTTTGAGTTTTAAAAARTTGATGCGATGAGTTTCACATTTTGTTTAAAAATCAGCATCCCATAAAGATTTGTTAGTTTATAAGAAAAAACAGCAGATTTGGCAAGTTTAGGAAAGCATAAATATAAAAGTTTATTTCACCAAACCCCACCGATAATGACACTCACCCTCAGCTTTGCAACACTAGACATTAATTTCATTTCATAGAAACTCTTAAGTTTTTCTTTATATTTGATAAAAACCGTTTTATTTTCCCTCCACTAATTTTCAGCAGCTTTACTGCTTTCATTGCTGCTGTACCATCCGAGCTGAGTGAAGCGTGAACTTCAAATTTTTTTAATCAATTTTGTCTTGTCGAGCCTTGTTGTTGCCCCCCACCACACACCTCCATTAACCCATTTCTCTCCTTCTTTGTCTCCCCTCCTTTCTCTCTCTGTCTCCTYCTCTCTGCATGAACCCAACAGGGTCAGTGTTGTGCATGACTCCTGCTAGCAGTCTTGGTAGGTCCTGACATTGCTGTCATACACACACTCAAGTCTGATTTACCCTTTWTTTTGTGGGGGATGTGCAGCCCCTCACAGGTGAGAGGTGGTGATAAAACTTCTTTAACGTGCCCTTTTCTTAATCAAATGTGCTTTTTTTAGTATTTATTTTGTGTCACCTGAAGAAGTTGCAGCTCCACTTTCTCGTCTCCCTTCTGACTTTGTAGCTCCTGAGTGTTTTAGTTTCTGATTAAAAGTTTTTGAGCTGTTTGCTGTTCTGTGTCGAGCAGGAAATTTCATTCAGTTTCCCAGAGAAATCCTGCAACTTTAAGATCCTTAATGGCCAGTTTTTTTGACCAGATATGAGGACTTTTAAAACTGCACTTCCAAAAATGAGTTTCATGCTAATTGATGCTAACGTCTCTGGGAACAACAGCAAACTAATTTTGGGTGTAAATTTCCTAACTTGTGATTGTAATCAGCTTTTCTCCTCTTGTTTTTGTTTTTGTTGTCCTCCCATGCTGTCCTCCTCCTCCTCCTCCTTCTATCTTTATTTTTCTGTCCTCGCTTTGCATTGTGAACGGTCGCATGCCATCTGCCGGTGTGTAACCCCCCGCCCYCCCGCCTCCTAACGACGGCCTCGCTGGCTCTCTGCTCAAACCGTCCACGCACACGCCACGACTGTCACCATGGTTACCATAATGCTACCTGTCCATCGCTACCTCCCCACAACCTTCTCCCTTTCCCCTCCCCACTTCACTCCTTTAAAAAAAACCCAAAAAAACAAAGTCCCAATGATGTACAGTGCTACGCCTGCTACTGTCTCTGCAGCAACAACTCCTGCCACAAGTGTCCCCTATGCAGCAACAGCACCAGCCAATCAGGTTTGCTCCTTTTTAAAGCTTTCTTTCATCAGTCCCCGGAGCTCTGAATAAGTCCTGCCACAATCAGCTGCGCGCCGGCAAAAAGGCCGAGCGAGCTCACGCCGGCATAAAAGCCTGCGAGTGGGTGTTTTCCTGGACAAATTCGAGCAAAAGAAAAAAGAAAAAGAAACAAAGAAAGGAAAGGCTACCTGTAAGAGCGGCTGGCCTCTTCTAAAGCACGTCACGCGCTCGCTGAAAGCACTTCTTCAGAGCTCCCACATTTTGCAAGTAGTACTTGTGTTGTGTTGCACCACTTCCTGGTTTTGTTTTTGCATGTTTTCTTGTTCCATCTGCAGTGTCATCTGAACTGCTTGTGTGCTACGCAAACACACACACACACACACACACACACACACACACTTAAACACACAATCATGTCAGCAGCCATCTTGGATTCTTCGTTTTTACGGTTTTCCTTGATTAAAGCAGCGGTTCGGTTGTCGAGGCGAGACGGACAAGGGCAAAACGTCTGAAAATGGCCTCCGAGCAGCGGCTCGGGGTCAGCGGGAGCCGGTGAAGTAGGGCCGGGTCTGAGTGCCGGTGTGACGCACGTGCGCCCCCATTTTTATCCTGGAAACTTCAACACAATGGCAGACCCTCTGGCCTCACGCGCACAGCCTGTAATCATTTACTAGAAGATCTGTGCCGAGGTGCTTTGAGGACACAGAAAAACGTGCTCCACATGTTGAAACGTGGCCACAGGCATCTCTGTCAGAGAGCAGAACTGGTCCAGAACTAAGCATTTATGTCAACATAAAGAAAAGCAATTGTGTAAAACAGAGCTGCCAACTCTCTCACATTGAGCGTGAGTCTCAGGCATCTGATGGTTTTCTCACGCTCTCACGCCACACCCAGTTTCTCACGCTGACAACTGACTAACGCCAATAACTCTACTCCAGTTCACTTTTTTATTATAARAACGCATGTATTGATATAAATCCWGTCCATGTTTTCACCGCAAACTGTGRTGTTACACACAAGGACATGCTAGGTTGTTATCCAGTCCGTATTTTCGCAYCAACCTTCCATCTACCTGTAAACAGCAGCTCTGTGGAGCYGGAGAGCATGSATCTGCAGACGAGGAAGCCCCGTGTGCTTCCCGTCCCAAATTAAAAACAGAGAAAGAAAAGAGGCGAGCCGTGCTGGTAAATTAACTAACATGTTAGAAAGAAAGGAGAATGGATGGATGTAGCAGAGAAACTAAGAGGGGAAAAGGAAACAGTTTGTGTGAGATGCAGCCTAATGAGTTAARKAAACATTTTCTGTGATAAAGTGGCCGAGGTCAGACTGAAGCCGGGCCACAAACCCAACAGAACCAGGTTCTACATCCATCATCACAGACTGAGGTTTTATGTGTTTGTGTTTCTGAATGTGTTCATGGCTCACAGGACATTAACTACCTGCAGAAATCTTTAATCTGCTTAAATAACACATTTAAATCGGTTCAAACTGACTGATTAGAAAAATACGTTTTCTTTATTGTAAAAGAAAACATATCAAGTAATAATCTGTTTTCTTCTTCTGTTGCTGTAATACAGTATATTGTTATTTTTACCAGCTCAAGAAAAATACATTTCACTGAGTAGTTCATCTAGTGCGTGCGTGTGTGTGTGTGTGTGTGTGTGCGTGTGTGTGTGAGAAAAGCAGCCTCGTGGGGACCAAAGTGAATCGTGGGGACCACTGCCAGGTCCCCACGGGTCCAAATGTATGTTACAGGTGTGGGGTTAGGTTTAGGACCAAGGTAGGACAATGGATTTGATTGTAGAAAAAAACAACAATTTTTTATACTGCAAATCAAGTAATCATGTTAAAAATCGGTATTCACGTTAAAATTGTTCCATTTGCATCCGTGCTGCGATCACATTAAATGGCTCCAAACCAAGCTCTCAGGATGAATTTAAAACTCAGCCTCTCCTGACCTTGAGTGAAAAATGTCTGACTTACCTCGTAACATTTTGACTGAACATAAATCACAAAATGCTTTTCGTAGAATCCGACAGTTACTCTAAACATAACATCTGATCAAGAAGATGTTTAAAACTGACATATTTAACCTTTAAATCTGACAGGTCTATAAAGTAGTCATAACAGTCAGTTTCTAGTGTAGGATGCAGCCAACAGGTAGAGATGACGACATTTCCTCAGCAGCTGCTGCCATTTCCTTCCCAAACTGCTGTGACCAGATTGTGCAAGGC